GTAGTAGTAGTAGTAGTAGTATACTTTTCGTCGGAGCTTCGACGATGAGATCTGCGAAGCCGGCAGTGGTGAGGCTGCCGGCGGCTGCCAGGTCCAGGACCGCATCCCGGAAGCTGGCGGCCTTCGCTAGAAAACTGTGCGCAGGACCAGGGCAGCCTCTGACCATTACTCTTCCCCAGGCACTCCCTGGAGTTTACGACTCCGAGAACGGCAGGGATCAAGCCGTCTGAGGAAAGCAGGCGACAGAGATACGTAGGAACGTAAGCATGGTGCCAATGCTGATTCAGGTGATGATGGTGGCAACGATCATGATTACAATGCTGATGAAGATGATTTTGCTCACCTTTCAGATTCTGATGGTGTTGTTGATGGTGATGGTGGTAGTAATGGTGATGGTGCTGTGGAACATGGTAACAATCATTAATTATGATTATGGTGACAGCCAGATGATAGATTGTGAACTGCAGTGCTAGACCTTGTTGAAAAGAAACCTGGACGGGCCTCCATGGCAATGGGGGCTCTTCCGTCTCGCGGGAACAATCGCATCTGAAGCTCTTGCATGGCCTTCCGGGACAAGCTTTCACGAACGATCTTTGGGCGATCAATGCCTTTTTCGATGCAGCTTTGTCACTTCAGCTTCAAGAGCTTATGGTTCAAAGGCTCAGCACTCAGAAACCTGATTTGCAGACAGGATTGCGCTTGCCTGGGACTGGTGCTTTGCCTGTGGCTTAGCCTCTGCGGTGCTTGTTGGAACGACAAAAAACCAGTTTCAGCGGTGATGCATCGAACGGATGGCTGCAGCAGGAGTGCGGAAACGATAAGCAGATTTGACTGACTTCGGCTCTTTCCTGCTTGACGAGGTGCATACTGGCAACCTCACTGATTCGTCTCAATCGTACTGCGCCAGTCCGGGCTGCGGGGCATATCGTTGCGGAAGGAGACAGCAGTACCACGTAGTTAGAACCTGACATCAAAGCCCTTCTACCCTTTCTGGCAAGGGCTTGACCTGCGACCCCCAAGCAACCTTCTCAAGCGACGCTTCTCAGGCGAGCCTGCCAGAAGTAGGGAAAGTAGATCACGGCAGATTGGGCGGGAGGATGTTGCGAGGTGGTGATGGGCTTTTTAACCTTTCCAGGATGCAGCCATCGACAGGATCTTTGAGGTGAGACAGCTCTTGGGATCCCAGCGCCTCCGAAAACTCGAAGGATTCATCAACTTGCAGCAGCTGGATCATCAGCGGAACATTGATCTCACCGTCCGGCCGCAGCAACCTTAGCCAAAAACCCACAGCTCTTAAACTTTCTCGACATGTTCTTGGACAGGAGCCCTCATTCGGAAATCAAAGTTAGCCTGGAAGCATGAGTGCTTTGCGCTGCAGACACCTCTCTGCACCGGACTCCGAAATGATGTTACCTGGGTCCACGGAGAAATTTGTTTGGCACTTCAGGAGTGGTTACAGTAGTAGTAGTAGTAGTAGTAGTAGTAGTAGTAGTAGTAGTAGTAGTAATTAGTAGTAATTAGTAGTAATTAGTAGTAGTAGTAGTAGTAGTAGTAGTAGTAGTACCAGTACTAGTAACAGTACACCAGTAG